AAGGAAGAGAAGAATAATAGTAATACAGTCTATACAATAGCAGAGTTGGAAGGGACCTTGGAGGTCTTCTAGTCCAACCCCCTGCCTAGGCAGGAAACTGTTTCAGACAAATGGCTATCCAACAACATCTTCAAGACTTCCAGTGTTGGGGCATTCACAACTTCTGGAGGCAAGCTGTTCCACTGATTAATTGTTCTAACTGTCAGGAAATTTCTCCTCAGGTCTAAGTTGCTTCTCTCCTTGATTAGTTTCCACCCATTGCTTCTTGTTTCAATGTAGTTCCTTGATCAATAAATTACTGAAGAGTGTTGAGAACAGAGGTTTGTTAAAAAAAAAAAAAGCCCTCGTGGGTTTGCGAGTTTTCCAATAGCCTAGACATCTTGGTTGGAAAGGCGATGATTGTTCATGGCATCTTTGTGGTGATCATATGGAGGTGTGTCTGGGCAGCAGTCTTTTCTCCTTTCTGTTTATTTTTCTTTGAAATATCCCTTCCCTACCAAAGAGAAGATGTGATGAATGTATCTCTTTCTGAGTAGCATATCAGTATTTACTTTGTACCTTATAGGACTAAGCCACTGCTAGTTTTCCATCCCAATAATAACAGTAACAATATAACAAACACTAATATTCAGGTGGTGTGTGCACTGGAAGACCAATATCCATCAATAATTCAGTAAATTAAATTTGTAGCATTTTATACATAGTTGTTTATTGTTTTGAAAGTAAAACAAATATATTTGAACATACATACAAAGTCAATCGATTTTAGCATAAAATCCACACACATAAAACATTTCAGCAAATTTACTTAAGGTAAAAATATGTTTTGACAATAACAAATTCCAACTTGATTTCTTTCTAAAGTTGATGCAACTCATTAAAGACTTGCCAAATGATAAACATTAAAATACAGGTAAAATGCATGCATATTTGTTTTATATAGCTATATCTAATATTGACAATTCCGTAAATATAAAATAACTTAATTTGTTAATTGAGGAACTGATGAGCAGCAATGTTCATTGTGGCAAAATATCACATAAAGTTTGTGTTTTATGGATATTATGAGTAGATGCACATATCACATAAAGTAAGCCACAAGTAAAATAAAGAGAAACCTCGTGGATTTTTCTTTCATGAAAATAATTCTTTAAGAGCCCCTGTTCCAGTCTGCATAAGTTAAGACTAAGTTCTAGCCCAGCTAGAATGAAATAATCCCAATAGTTTAAATGATTATTAACTTTTTTGCATATAAACCATATAAATATTGCACTTCAGGAAAAAATATTAATAAATGTACTTATAGTATATATTAGATTTGCATTAGAAGAAAATTATATATTCAATAAGAACCCAATAAATGAATAAAATTAAAACATATAATAAGATGTAATGGTTAAAGATTTTGCATTTTTTAAAAGATTATTTTATCTTATTTTCTGGATGAAAAATGGAAAATCCACTGGTTCCTGTTTTGGAACTTATATAATGTCTTCATGTTAATCAGTACCTGTAATAATACAGGGTTGTTGTTTTTTAAATAAAATGAGTAAACATAACACTATCTTTAAATATTCACTCATATTTACCGCAAAACACTAGGAAATATTTGGGAATTTTAGTTATAGTTATGTTAATAGTTATAACAATTTAATTAATTGACTTGAAAAGTTTTAAACTGCTAGTAGAACACTCCCACTGACTGATTTGTTCTTCCTCTTATTTAACCCTTTAACATTTTATTTCATATTTTGTTTACCTTGCAACACTTCTTTTTAATTCTGTTCTTTTGATTGACTAACTACATAACCTCTGCATCAATCACCAAACCAATCATAATATAAAACAATTATCTTTAACTGATACACAATCCATACAAGTGAATCATAGTACATGCTTGGATGACTAAAACTCTGGAAACACCTTATACATACACCCCAAATTGACGACCTAATTTTATGAAGGAAAGAAAATAATTCACAAAAATATTTCCATGATAAAATTAAATTTAAATTAAATTAAGATCTAAACAATCTTTCAAGTTTAACGATAAATTCTTTCAAGGAACTAGTTATCCTAAAACTCCTCGAATCCTGGTAGGAGTAACCAGCCAAAACAGTCAGAGAAAGCTAAGTATAATTATCTATATATTGCAAAGTTACCATGTATGTACAACAACTTTCCTAGGCAATGATTATATGAGTTAAATTCAATGTCATGTGAACAGCTTCAGTTTATGCACTCTGTCTTTTTCCCTTCCTGCAGCCTCTGAATGCCACTTTAGAACTACTGTGAAAAGTCATCTATTTTTTTGCAGCAGACTTGGTGGCACAGGGATGGGGTATTTTTTCTGCTAGTTGTGCTTATTCCAGAAATCGGTGGACACTATTACATAAAATTTATGAAGGATGAGATAAAATATGGACTACCCAGAAGTATTATTTACACATACTTAATCACTAGGGCTATACAAACCATTTCAATGGATGGCAACAGAAATGATTTCTATGTATAACACACACACACACACACACGATTTCATAAAGTCCTTAAAGTGCAAGCATTAAAAAGAACATAAGTATGCACTGTCACTAAAGATGTTTTAGGAATAGATTGTATAAATGTAGCAAGCATCTAAGAGCTGTTTGTAAGTCAGTGCCAATGTGACACCTTAAAATAATGATTCTACTTTAATTGCTAACTTTAAAAGACTTTATTTTAATTGGATGCACATTCATCTATCATGGAAAACCAACAAAAATAGCACATAAATGTTGCAACAAAAGTATCTGTCTTTTCCAGCAATATTATTTTCCTTCTCCCAAAGTGCATAAAATGAACGATCACACTGTAATCATCTGAGTGAGAAGTATGTGGTGCTTTATTTGAAGTAATTTATTTAAACAAAAACTATTCAATGTAATTTTTTTAAAGTATAGCCTTTATTCAGACTTCTTCTATTAATTTTCAAATCAATTTCTTCCACTATGCTATATTAATTTATAGTTTTATTATATATGAGGTTTTCTTTTACAAAAGAAAATTAAAATACATCTGAATTAAACAAATCTTAAAATTAAAATAAATTTGAATGGTTAACATTTTTGAGCTTCCTTATTGAATTATGCACCACCTTTCTCTATTACTAATATTAAAAAGCACAACTTATTTGCTAGTTCACCAT